ACTTAACCAAGGTGATGGAGAAGCTCTGATGGTTCTCACAGTTTTTTAGAGAAGATATGAGAGCAAAAATTTTTTTTAAAATCGACGATATGAGAGAGATGAGAGAGAGGAAGTGTTTTGGAGAAGGTATGAGAGAGAGGAAGTGGGGAGAGGAGGGATGCGGGTTGTCACTGTTTTTCGAATTGTAAGGTGGCTGAGAAAATTGTGAGGAGCTTGGAGTTGGGTGCTTAGTTTGAGGGAAGAGAGGTGTTGTGTTTCGGTTGGGAGAAGAATAATAGGGAGAATCGATGCGTTGGAGGGAGGAGAGGAGTTACGTGAGCATTTCGGGGCAATAATGGGGAGAACAATTGGGTTGGAGGGAGGAGAGGCGTAATGTGAGCATTTCGGGGCAATAATGGGGAGAACAGTTGGGTTGGAGAGAGGGGCGGATGAGAGTGAAGCAGGCGGGGTATCGGACAAAGAGGGGCGGGGCTCTAAAAATATCCCAGAAGCTTTGTAGACCTTTTGGCTGGTGAGGAATATTTGTCATAGTTTTTAAAATTTATAACAATTCTACAACTTTATTTTTCTTTATAACAATTTAGCAAAGAGGGGTGGGCCAGGTCAGTGGCGACTTTGTCACTGACATGGCACGACTTTTTCACTGACATGGCAAATCGTCGATGACTAGGCAACTTTGCCACATCAACGAAAAAGTCGTCGACGATGTGGCGATTTTCTCGAATCTCAAAAATTTTTTTTTGTCGATTTAAAAAATAAAATTTTTAAAAAAGCTATTTTAAAAATTTCGCCTTATAAAAAAGAAAATTTGAAAAACTAATTCTTTTAATTGCGCACTTTTTTTTTGTTTTTGCATGAGCCTGTTAAGTTCAGTTTGGCTTGTTTTGCACAATTATCATATTTCACATGCTTACTAACATCATTCTTACGCAAATGTCCCGAGTTTACTTATTTGACCATATTTAATCGGGAGAAAATTTGAGCTGGGATGTGCCTTAAATTCTTCGAGTTCACTTTTGAGAAAAGTGCAATAGATGAATAAGATTGTTTATTTATATATTGTGTCCATGACAAAGCATATCCAAGTGTTTTAAAGTCCATTATAACTAAAATCTTTGTCAAGATATTATCACCCAAATTTTTTTCATACAAATTAATTATTGTTTTTGGAAAGGTTTAGTTGATATCATTGTGCTTTTATTTACTCAGACCTTATAATTGGTGCAGCTAAAAACACGCATTTGAGATTTTCCGCAAAGGCTATTGGAGATGGTTCAGATTCTTCCTCCGAAAGCATTGTTAAATATGTTCAGAATGCTGTGAGTTTATGTTGAATTTATCTTGTTTTATGTTATAAGGATGAAGTGCCTCTAATTGATTTAGAAAGTTATGGAAAGATTTTTTAACCCTAAGGTGATCAATGGTCATATAATATGCAATGTGCCAATTCTACATTCATAAAGGTATGATTCTTTCAATTTAGCACGCTAAACATAAAGTGTTGTGCTAATTTTGCTTGTGTAGTATATGATGATTAAAAATATGTATAATTGCAGTTAACTTTGATTTATTTTAGGGCCATTTACATACATACCACAGTTCTTATGTATTTACACATCTAACACCTATAGATTCATATTTACATGCATGCCACTTTTATCTTTAACCTCGCATAAAAAATACCACAATCATTACCTTTTTAAAAATGAAATTCACATTTTCATGCATAAGTTTATAATACAAGGTGCTATAAGTGTAAATATCAAACTGTGGGTGTTAGTTATGTAAATTCATGACACTTGTGAGGTATGTATGTTTCTTTTTTTTTAATTTACTTGTTATGATGATGATATCAGAGTTAACCAAATAACAATAGAAAAATTAAATTTGTTATGGAATCAAATAGTAAATTACAACCAACTTACGTGAATTTGAAATTGCAACAATTGGCAGTGCAAACTCAAGCTATGGGGTAGATTAAGGGGCGGCGGCGGTGGTTGACGAGGGTTTGGAAGGTGGCGCGAGGGTCAAAAAGGCAATTGATAGCGCCGTCAAATCGGTTCGTTGTTTGCGAACAATTCGTGTTTGGTTAGTTAAGAAGTTATTGTTTGATTTCTTCCTTAAGTTAATGAACCTAACACGAACAATTTTTTTTGCGCTCAATATATAAACAAGCTGAACATGAACAAATATTTGTTCGTTCGTTTTCAACTTGTTTTGACTCGAAATAATTAAATTACACACACATACTTATATATATATATATATAAAAATATAATTGATGAACATTTTAAAAAATTTAATTGACTACAAGCCTACAAAGATTTATAATCAATTAAAATTATTAATCATAAAATAGAATGAAAATATATTAAATTATATTTAAAAGATGCTTTAATATAAATAATAAGATTTAAATCTTGCCCTAATCCTTAATTATCTTATGATTGAATGACTAGGGTTGTCAAAACGACTCTTTATTTGCGAACAACTCGTGTTCGACTCGCTAAGAAAACAAGCCGAACACAAACACATTTTTTTGTTCGAAATATAAACAAGTCGAACACGAACGGTGATTTTTTTTAACGAGCCGAATACGAGCTGAGCTTGGACTAGCTCGGGTCTGACTCATTTACACCCATAGCGGTTGACAAGCATAAAACAACATAACTGTTGTTTCCCCAGTGTCAGACAACAAGCAAACAACAGGGAGTGATGTGGGAGAGTTGCTCGGGGTGACGACAACAAGGATGCTGAAATGACGGCGACAACAAAGAGGAAGGGCTGGACAGCAGCAAAGCGAAGGTGGAGAGCTAGAACAATAACGGCTGTTTAATTAGAGTTATCAAAATGACTCGTTGTTTGCGAACAACTCGTGTTCGACTCGCTAAGAAAACAAGCCGAACACAAACACATTTTTTTGTTCGAAATATAAACAAGTCGAACATGAACGGTGATTTTTTTAACGAGCCGAATACGAGCTGAGCTTGGGCTAGCTCGTGTTTGACTCATTTACACCCATAGCGGTTGACAAGCATAAAACAACATAACTGTTGTTTCCCCAGTGTCAGACAACAAGCAAACAACAGGGAGTGATGTGGGAGAGTTGCTCGGGGTGACGACAACAAGGATGCTGAAATGACGGCGACAACAAAGAGGAAGGGCTGGACAGCAGCAAAGCGAAGGTGGAGAGCTAGAACAATAATGACAGTGAGGAGGAAGGGATGGATAGAGGAAATTTACAGGAAAATAACAAAAAGTGCAGCTATCATAGTTTTGCAGCGAGGAGGGAGGTGTGGCAGCGAAGCATGAGCGACGTGAAAGGGTATAGGGAAGATACACACTAACTGGAGACCAAGATATAGTTGAAGCATTAATTGAAACCCTATGATACAACCCTCGAAGAGAATAAGAGACATTGACGACTATTTCGATACAAAACACACAAAAAACTAAATCTAAAACATCAGGAAAGTAAATATATAATAATAAAATAACTAAGAGTGGCTCAAGGGGACCAACCGACTCCACCATAATGAAAATACCTAAACCGATTTGTTCCGTGCACGGAAGCGGAATCTGCTTTTTGTCGCAGGAAATCTCGTGTGCTTGGGATACGACCCACGTCATTCTTCCAGGGTTGGGGGGAGCTTCAACCTTCTTCATTGAAGCTTTTGTCCACATGTTGAAGGTGTCAGAGCTGTTGTAACCTCCCGGGGTTGAATGGTTTTTGATTTCGTCGATATCAACATCTGGATCCCACTAACGATTGCACAATTCCCCAAAACATATGATCATTTTTCTCTCTTGTGAGTAGCCATCCGTATCGATCCAACCCTCTCGAGATCTATTGCTGGACTGAATTGGGATTTATTGTCAAATATATTTTGCAGGGCCTTCTGATGGCAGCTTCAGGCTGACTCATACTTGTATGGCGTGAGAACAGAGCGAGCTCTTAATAGTGGCGACCATTGTGGTAAACTATTGAACAGGATGTTCTGAAACTCTGTGTATTGGATGCCCTATGTTTTAAACAAACATTTTCTCTTGTTGTACTCAGTCATCACCAAAAATGATTCCACCGACGCTTCTCTGTTGGCAAGGGCACCTGTAATCTCAGACTCCATAGAAGGTAGAAGGATGGTGTGCTTGGCATTCTTGGTGGAGTAAGTGTTCTTGTACACATCATGCCGAGCCATGCGATCAAACCGCCACAATCTTCCCAACAAACAACAACAGACATTCATGGTCACCACATTGCACCACATCTAATTCTGTAGTTGATTGCCAATTGAAAACTCCACGAGAAACCTTCTGTCAATGCTGACTCTATTCTTCTTTCTCAACCACGTCAAGGAGTATGGATGAGTGTCTCCGAGTCGTGAGGCTCAACTTGTCCACTATATGTGTGGATGTCACTTTCTTGCTGCTCTTTCAATCGATGATGAGGCTTCATACTTTTCCTTTCATAGTGCAACAAATGTAGAATGTGTTGTAACGAAAACTCTACTATTCCCTTGTAGCCTCAGTTTGTAGGACTCTTTGAACTACTAGCATCTTGCCCTCATCCGGTGGAAGATGGTACTCACCCTTTTCTTCACCCGTCTTTTCATCACTAACTTCCTCTACTACACTCTGTTTGGTAAATAATACAACTTGGCTCGTCAAGCAATTGAGGGTGATATACCTATATCCATGACATCTGAAGCTTTTCACGGTTGGGATTGTAATAGGCGTGTTACTCTTCTCGGGCTTCTTCTCACTCTAAGTAACTCTATAATTCTCCTGACCAGTCTTCTCAAGCCTTTGAGCCATGCTTCTGATGTCTTCAACTGCGAGTGATTGCCTGAATGGCGGTAGGTGCTTGCTTTGCTTCTGCTGTCTCTCTACCTTCAGTGCCAAGGTCTAGACGTCGCCCAATGATCAGTAAAGTTGTAGCTGGACCACGTTACCGATAGTGGGCTTCAAGCGCCCCAAGTATCTGACTATTTTGTGCTCCTCCGACTCTGTCAAATCACATTTCAGCTTAAGTTGCATAAACTTTGTTGTGTACTCCTCTACTGATAGGTCCATCCACTATAGGTAGTGGAACCTCAAGAAAGATCCTGATGATAGTATGGGGGTAGGTATTATCGTCGCAACTATGTCTTCAATTTTTCCCAGGGAGTAATCTTGCCATTCACTCTCTATTTCTCTCTCTCTTCAAGTTCCCTCACCACGATTAGACTCTCTTCTTCAGTTTGATAGCAGTTAGTTTCACTTTCCGGTCATCTGACACTTGTATTCAAAGACCCTCTCGACGGTCTGCAACCACTCCAAGAAATCATCTAGATTCATTCTCCTCTCCATATCTGATATGTCCACTTTCACTCCTAGGTCTCTGTATCTTGCAACAGACTTTGTTTCTATATCCTCTAATAGGCACTCAATCTCTCGACCTCCTCTGACAGTGTATCCTAAAGCGTCGTGGCATGTCTTCTCCACTAGAATCATCCCTACGAAAGGGGTTCAAGCATTCTTCTCTCTCTTCTCTTCAAATCTCACTACCACGCTCGCCGATAACCTCTCCATGGGTCTTTTCCTCAATGTCGTCAAGCCGTTGTAGCACTTGGTGGAGCTGTCACTGTAACTCTTTATGGAAAACTCCTGACCAGGTTCTGACAATTGCTTCCGCGATGGCATGATTAGGGTTTGGGGGTGGGCAGGTCGAAGGTGTGTAGAGGTGATATAGGGTGGGAAAAAAAAATTTTGAGTTGAGGTAGGGTTGGGTAGTGGTGGATTCTAGGAACCCCAGGATAGGACTAGAGATTAACCTATCTCTGATATCAAATGATACCACAGTTAACCAAACAACAATAAGAAAATCAAATTTTAATATGAATAATTCCCGTGACATCTACTCTTTATTTTGTGTTTCTATCTTCTTTTTTTTTCCGTGTTTTATACTATATTGTTGAGATCAACTCACCAACCATATTTCATTATCTTCGTTCGGCACGTGCCTTTCTTTTTGCTGACTTTAAACATGAAGTTAATTTTTATTTGCTCCCTTTAATCACAATGCTTTTGCTTAAATGATAATGAAACTGAATTCATTTGATTCAAAGTTGCATCTTGTAACAGATAGAATTCACCAGTTCTTTTTTACCTTTATAGCATCATTTGAGTTGAACACCCCATTAATGCTTTCACAAGTCTGTGGCGGATTAGTGTACCTTGCATTTTGGCTTTCTAGAGCCAAAAATTTCTCAAGCCATAATACTTCACAATCTCGTACTTCATTATTATTGCATTCCTCATTTGAGCTATGGTATCCATT